AAGAGACAGAGATAGGTCTCAGAAAACCAATAATATTGTCATTTCTTGGAATTTAAAGAAAATCCAAGATCAAATAAAAAGCTTAGCTGTCTGAAGAAAAAAATGTCTGAGGGAAGATGAGCATGCTTATGTCTACCAAATCCAGCTTGCGTGTTCAACATCAGACTGCATCATTATCTCAGACATTCCTGCAGAAATGGGTTCTACATGGTGGGGTAATTAATCTCAATTCAGAATAGGCTTTGTTAAATAATATTTACTGGAGGATAAAGCAATGACTCCTTAAGCTAGTGTTTCTCATAAGGGCCCATATAATCACCTGCATCAGAAATCCAGAGTGCCAGCCAGGCACGGTGGCTCACATCTGTAATACCAGCACTTTGGGAGACCGAGGCAGGAGAATCACTTGAGCTCAGGAGTTCAAGACCAGCCTGAGCAACACAGAACCTATCTCTACAAAAAATTTTAAAATTAGCTGGTGTGGTGGCACTTGCCTGTAGTCCTAGCTACTTTGGAGGCTGAGGCAGGATGACTACTTATGCCCAGGAAATCAAGGCTGCAGTGAGCCATGATTGCATACTGCAGTCTAGCTTGGGCAACAGAGTAAGGGATGCAGAGACATACCCTGAACCAGGATTTCATAGTGTAAGCCCTAGTTTTGTGAACTCTAGTTTGGAAAGACCTGGAAGGCATTTGTCCAATGTACAACTGATGATGTGAATACTTATTAGCCATCCCATTCACGAGATTCTCCAGCAATTTCATGGCATGGGTAGCTGGAGCCAGATTAAGGGCCCTGCCTACTGGGCAGTTGATTGGAGCCAGCATCTATAAATGAAGTGAAAAATCTTCCTGGAATAAACAAAGTACAAAGTGGGTCCACTTCTGTCAGAGTAGATAGTGGGGAAGAAAATGTTTACTAGCCTCAAACTATCTTCCTTAAATATTTTTCAGAATATCACAAGGTGGCTGTCAGCTGAGATTTTTAAACAGCATTATGTATGATTCAGTGTTTCTTGCTTTTGAACTAGTGATTCATTTTGTTATCTAAGTTTTAAATCTTGTCATAATTCTCTCAAGTGTTCTGGTTTGGAAAACTGCTAAAAACAAAACTCAACAACAGAAAATCCTCCAAACAAAAACCCCAAACCCAAACTCAGAAGTAAGTATAGGCTGGGCGCGGTGCCTCACGCTTGTATTCCCAGCACTTTGAGAGGCTGAGGTGGCCAGATCACTAGACCCCAGGAGTTGGAGGCCAGCCTGGATGGATGAAACCCCATCTCTACAAAAAAAAAGGGACATGATGGTGTGTCCCTGTAGTCCGAGCTACTTGGGAGGCTTAGGTGGGAGGATGGCTTGAGCCTGAGGGGCCAAGGCTGCGGTGAGCCGAGATTGCACCATTGCACTCCAGCCTATCAGCCTGTGACAGAGTGAGACCCTGTCTCCAAAAAAGGATGAGCTACATGAAACTAAGAGCTGTTTTGCTTAAATTTATCAGAAAAAGGACTCTGTCCTGGCCAGAGAAAGTAGTTAAGGAAGATTCTGCTTCAGCCTAAAACAATGACTAGCAGAAAATTAGTTTCACTTCATTCCACTAAATAAATGTGGAACAAAAATTGTGAACTCTGAGTTTCAGGGGGTTCAAAACTATTTGCTTTTCTGGATTCCTGTTGGCCTTGGTTGAGTCTGCAGGTATCATGACTATTTAGAATTACCAAATTAAATAACTGAATGGAGTTGAGTTCTAAGAAGTACTTACTGAGTACGAATTGAAGACAAAGTTTCTGCCATCATCAAGTTAACAGAGCAAGACAGACATTAAGTAATTACAATATTATTTTGCACTTCTATTAGGTGAGGGTTGTGTGTTGATGGATTCATGATAAAATATTCTGAATGTGTAATATGTAACACATAAAGAACATAAAATGCAAGTACCTAAAAAATTGAGAAATTTAACGCTCATAGATTCCATTTTGAGTTTTAAAGAATAAAAATAGGCAGGGCACGGTGGCTCATGCCTGTAATCCCAGCACTTTGGGAGGCCAAGGCAGGCAGATCACCTGAGGTCAGGAGTTCAAGACCAGCCTGGCCAACATGGTGAAACCCCATCTCTACTAAAAGTACAAAAAATTAGCCAGGTGTGGTGGTGGGCACCTGTAATTCCAGCTATTTGGGAGGCAGAGGCAGGAGAATCACTTGAAACTGGGAGGCGGAGGTTGCAGTGAGCCGAGATTGTGCCATTGCACTCCAGCCCTGGGGACAGCAAGACTCCATCTCAAAAAAATAAAATAAAATTAAAAAGAATATAAATATTAGAAATGTAACATGCTTTGACTTTTACGAATAATTCCAAGTTTTCATAACTTTTTTGTCTGGGAGGCTATCTAGACTTTCTTATTAGCAAATATCCATCAATTAATTACTTATGTATTTTCTAGGGATAATATTGGAGGAATGCTTAAAACATTATAGACAAACGTGTTGAATGTTTTCACCATCATGAAACTGTGAGTTGAAAGCATTAGCCCAAGTCCTTTCACTTGTTCAGTTTTGTTTCCTTTTTCTTTTTTGGAGATGCAGTCTTGCTTTGTCGCCTAGGCTGGAGTGCAGTGGCACAATCTCGGCTCACTGCAACTGTTCAAGTGATTCTCCTGAGTCAGCCTCATGAGTAGATGGGATTATAGGCACCTGCCACCACACCTGGCTAATTTTTGCATTTTTAGTAGAGATGGGGTTTCACCATGTTGGCCAGGTTGGTCTCAAACTCCTGACCTCAGATAATCTGCCTGCCTCAGCCTCCCAAAATGCTGGGATTACAGGTGTGAGCCACTGCGCCTGGCCTTCAGTTGTTTTCATCCTATAAATCATACCTCCTTTGCTTTGGAAAATTAAATCAATAATATTTATCAATTACATTTTCCTTATTCCTATTATTATTAGCAAGTCTATTGAACTACCAATGTCTCACTTTTCATGAAAATGAGTTCCTAAAATGCAGTGGTGGTTACCCTGAAACATGCACATTCTTAATATTTGGATTTAATCTGGAAGGATGTATAAACCATATAAGGAATATATGAACAGCTCTCAGAATCTTGTTAACCTGGTATCCCAGAGGACAGAAATAGCCTCTGTAATTCAGAAATGCAATCTCCTGTTAATTTCTCTGATGGGTGGTTTTGACGTTTTCAGTGTTTAATCAACCTAATTCTTTGAGCTGGAAGCTGGGGGCTAGAGATAGCATGTGATGTACAGGGGAACCCCATGTTGGAACTTGGCCATCTTCCAACAGGAATGGGCTTATGTAAGGATTTCTGCCCTTGGGTTTTTTTTTTTTTTTTTTTAAACTCACATAAAGCTGGAAGGAAAAAAATCTGGCCTAGTCTAGAGATATAGTGAATAGGATGGAATTTGAATCAGACAGACCAGGGTTGGAGTCCTGATTCTGTAGTCAAAGGCTATATGACTTAGACAAGAAATAAAACCTCTCTGTGCCCCCACTTTCTATCTATAAACTGGAATCTACTTTGCAGACATGCTAAATGAGAAAACAAAATTTTAACTGATATACCAACATGTCACAAACATTGTTACTGTTGCTGAAAAACAATGACTATAAATTATATATATGTACTTTATTTTTGAAGAAAACTCATACATTTAAAAGTGCTTTATTATTTTAAAATTTTCAAAGAAGACTCAAACTTCTTTCTGAACAATGCCCGTAATGAGATGCTTGCCCTTGATTCCAGGAACTGAAACATGTGGCAAATGGAAGCGATTTGATTTTGTAGAACAAGCACACTTTATTCAGCTAATGGGAGGGCAGAGGTATGAAGAATGTGGGAAGTGCTTAGCCTCAATAACCTCATTCTTCTAAATCAGTGACAGTCATGTGGGACAAAACAAGAAGGGCACTTGCTGAACTCACCAGTCCACCAAGGATGCTAACCGCTGGCATGCAACTAGATGGTTTCACTTGCAGGGTCCTGGGGATAAATGAGGTCTATTCCCACAGTGGCTTAGAGCAGTGGCTTAGAGCACTCACGAAACCTTCTCATGAAATCTGGAAAGGAGGGAGCCCTGCTAGAGAGTGGGCTGGGCTCTCGTGCTTTCCCTCTGTCAGATGCACACCCGGAAAGGAATGGAAAACACAACCCCAGCCCAGGAGAAGCCAAGAAACGAACATGAGAAGGTCCACAGAAATAGGGCCAAGTGTGACACACCAGACACAGACATGACATTGATGCTTACCTTCAGTGGGGATTCCCAGAGTGACCAAAGTGTAGAAATCAGGAATTGGTCTAAAAGAATCCTTGACTTGAGAAATCTGGGGGCATTGGCTTCTATTGGTTAATCAAAAATCTCATTTTGATTGGGGAAAAATAAGTTGTTCCTAGGTAAATCCATTCCCTGAATTAGGGGGGAGTGGGAAAGGACTTGGTTTGTGTTTGGGGAAAATTTGCTATCGGTTGTTTCTTGCAGACTTTGGAAGGGACCCTTGGATTTCAAAAGCAGGCACAGCTAGACTGTGTCTTTCCTCATGTCTTCTGAGTCATTTACGAAGTCTCATGTGGCCAGTTATCAATGAACTGTGTCATTGCTCAGACATGGGGCCCCTGCTCTGTCTTTTGTGTTTGAGATGGAATCTACACAAATATTTGCAGATTGAGTCTCCTGTGCTGAGTGTTGGGGGTGCAAAATATGAACAAAAGTCTTTGATGTCATGAACCTCACACTCTAGAGATAGTTGGATACACAAAACTTTTCCACTCTAACTTCTTGTCTTTTCATTGACTCATCTACATTGAAAAACGTAGCAACCTGTTTTGAGATGGATTAGATGTAAATTAAACTTCTTTTGGTACAAAGTCATTTCTCTCCTGGAGTAAGCATAATGACACTTTTTATGATACCCAGTGGCTCTCGAAAAGCAATAAAAAATGTTAATGGTTAATGTTTGACTGAAGCTGAAGGGAGAGGCTAGGAGGCAAAGCAGGGAAGAGGAAGTGTTCCCCGGGGAGATAACTCCAGTCGTAGCAAGAGTCTCAACCACTGAATGGAAGAAAAGGACTTTTAACCACCATTTTGTGACTTACAGAAAGGTAAGGGCTGACATGTCTTAACTGTGTCAGTAACATATTTATTCCAGAAGGACAAAGTAGATGGAGGGGAAGGACCCTTAAAAAGTTGCTTGATAAATTTTTTCCTTGAGGTGGGCTATGTAGATGCAGAGAAGGGAAATTTGTTGCTGGTGTGACAAGTTTAGCTTGTGGAGCACATTTTTTTTTTTTTGGTAGTTTCTTTTCATTGGTCTATATTTTATAAATTCATTTGATGAGGTGGCTGCAGTGAAATCAAGCTTGGCAGTGGAATTAAAGGGGAGATTGAGTTCTCTGATGTTTAAATAAGTATCACACCCATTCTTCATGATAAGCGTATAAAAGTCCCTGGTCTTAAGGTGCTCTAGGGCTCTTGTATTCTAGAAATTGGGGTTGGAATCACATTCTCAAAAAGCATGTCATTCTGTCTACTTCTCAGAGAATGAGATTCAATTTGGGATTCTTAGAATTGTCTGGGACACAGCAAGGGAGGGAACATGCAAAGAAGAAAAGAAGCCTTTTTGTAAAAGTACTAGAATAAGAATTGAAGACAGACAGACAGACCTGCCTTCACAAGTGGGAGAAGAGGCTGATGTGCGTGTTACTCAGCTTCCTGGACTGCTTTTGGCCTTGGTGGTGGAGGTACCACCTGCTTATGTGTGGTTATTTTTATGGTAAGTCATGCACAGCTTATTGGTATCTTCAATGGTCCGATCTTTGCCTCTGTCTTGGTCTTTTGTTTATGACAGGTGACTTTATGGGGACAGATGCCCTCTGTGGTAGGGGATGCCAAGCAGTAGATTGGACGGACAGTTCCTTCTCTAATATTTTCTTGTCTTTATTTTTCTTCAAAAACTTAAATAGCAAATGAGGTATTATTTGAAAGAAGAAAAACACATGTTTAGGTGAAAGGAAGATGGATGCTATTCAGCTCTTACCAGGAAACAAAGCGAGTCCTTTACTGAGAGAGGGTTTCTAGTGAGTTACAGTGCCATATGAGTCTTCAGGGTTGGCCAGATGGGTTAGGCCAGTTTCATCATTTTCCAGCCTGTGGGCACAGAACAGAGAGCTGTCACTCTCGGAGCCTTAATTTTTTTCATCTATAAAATGGAGATACTTGCCTAACCAGGTAGTTGTGAGAAGTAAATTAGGTAAGTAGGTAAAGAGCTTACTATGTTGCTTGGTGCATGGTACACATCCAGTGAATGTTAGCTCTCTGTTCCATGAGAAAGTTCAAGTAGGTGACTCAGGATGAATTGAGAAATTGCTGTTTCATTCTTTAGAAAAATAAGAAAAAAATCAGTAATGCCATAAAAATAGCATCTACCATTATGCAAGAGAGGAGCTAATTCTATGTTCAGGAAGTGGGATTCAAAAATATGAGAATAATAAAACTATTGCTTTTGCATATATATATATACACACACACACACACACACAGACATATATATATATATATGAAGCATTTTTTAAAAGCCCCTCTCATGGTTCCCATATAAGTCTTTGGGTGAGGTGCAGGTGTGGCATCCTTTGAAACTCATCCAGATGACCCCTGAAAAAAGTCATCACTGTTCAAGGTGAAGGTTACATTTCTAGTACCTCCTCCTTTCTCATTCAAAAGGCAAAATATGGCTGGGTGTGGTGGCTCATTCCTGTAATTCCAGTACTTTGAGAAGCTGAGGAGGGAGAAGCACTTGTGCTGGAGTTCAAGACCAGCCTGGGAGGTCTGAACATAGGGAGACCCTGCCTGTACAAGAAAATTAATAATTAGCCAGGCATGATGGCACTTACCTGTAGTCCTAGCAACTTGGGAGGCTGAAGTGAGAGGGTTCCTTAAGCCCAGGAGTTTGAGACTGCAGTGAGCCATGGTTGCACCACTGCACTCCAGCCTGGGTGAGAGAGTGAGAACCTGTCTCAAAAAACAAAAAACAAAAACAAAAAAAGCTGGATGATGTGCAAAATATATCCTGGCAGAAACTCTACCTTTTGTTTCATTGTAAAAAAAAAAAAAAAAAAAAAAGTCTAGAAGGATGTGTCCCTCATTTTTCTTCCACATTAACAGTGACACCTCTGAGGAGGAAAGCTGGGCATTGTCATGCTCCTTGCTCTGGAGGCCGACAAACAGTGCTTGCACAGAAGCTGGTTCACATGGGTAGAGATGTATAGATTTGACATAAAATTGCATTGATTCAGAAATCCCTGGTGTCAGATTTAGAATGGGGCTAGTTGTTCTGTAACTGCTCGTTGATTATCCAAAGAAAGACGCGCTGAATTTTAAGGGAATATCTATTTACTTATTTGTTACTTGTGAGAACAGACAGGAATGTTTACTTAGGTACAAGAAATATTAACTTAATAAAAGCAAATATTCCCCTCGTGGTTGAGGTATTAATTACACTAAAGTTGAATTTTTTTTTTCCACTTAAGCAATACGTAACAAACTAAGCTATACTTGATTGTTGTGTATATGGTACAAAGAAAATTTCTCTTCAAATATTCTGTAAGACTGACATGGAATTCTCTCATTCGTGATATTTCTGAGTTATTCATTTCTGACCATATACTTATTACTTAAAAATATTAGGACTTGTTCTTAAGTGAGGGACAAAGAGAATGGAAATGGTAGATTTGTTCCCTTAACATCTAAGCTAAAGATGAGCTCTCTTCCTCACCAAGAGGCCATCTAGCAGAGTGGCTTCGTGCTTGGCCCCTGCATTCACACCACTTCCTCAAGTGCTCTAAGCTCAGTTTCCTGCTCTGTGGCATAACAACAGGATCCACATTATATGATTGTGTGGTTCAAGTAAGTTGCCCAAAGTGCCTAACTTAGCTTGCATTTGTTGAGCATTCGCTATTTTTTAAAACAGTTCCAATGATTTTTAAGAAAACAATTCATGAATGAGATTTCATTGTGGTCTGGCACCTTTTATTAAGCAGAATTAAATTTATTTTCCCTTCCTCTCCTACCCATCCCAGTTGTCAGTTATGATTTAATTACAGAAATCGGAAAGTGAACCTGCCATACTTAAGCATGACTGCACAATCTTGGCATTAAAATTCCTGCCTTGGGTCACCTTGCAAATGAACTGGTATTAGAGTTCCTTCCTTCCTTCCTTCCTTCCTTCCTTCCTTCCTTCCTTCCTTCCTATCCTTCCTTCCTTTCCTTCCTTTCCTTCCTTTCCTTCCTTTCCTTCCTTCCTTCCTTCCTTCCTTCCTATCCTTCCTATCCTTCCTATCCTTCCTTTTGATCCTTCCTTTCGATCCTTCAGTGTCTAAACCCTACGGGATGGAACCTAATTTAGATTTACTTCCTACTGAATTTCTAAGGCCAGGATGTGCTGCTTTATTATCTTGACAAAATGCTCATCCATAAACTTTATATTACATAAAGAAATGTTGTGTAATACATAAACACTTTGTCAAAAAAAAGTCAAGCCACCTTTTATGAGAAATAGTGATTCCAGTCCTCCTCTTTAGTCCAGGAAAGATGCTTATGATACAGTTCTGCTATATCTGGGGGAGAAAGGGTCTCCCCCTGCCACCTTCCTAGGGTTTTTGTGGGTATATAGTTGCACATGTCAGGGAAGTCAATGAGGAAATCCTTCCTGACTGTCTGCTTAAAACCCATTTATGCCTAGTGTTCCATTATTGGAACACTAAGCATGTGGGAGTTACTTATATCCTACTGCTCAAGGTCATCGCCAAAGTCTGACTGCAAAAATTCAAAAAATTGCAACCTCAGGCATAAATGAGTTACAACATCAGACAAGCACCCTGGCGGGACAGTCACTGTTGTCCCTAGGTCAGTGGCTTCCTTTCCTGTGACTGCTCTGGCTCCCCTTCCATTCAATGCTGGGATGTTTTGGGAGACTTGGAGGAGAGGCCTCTTCTCCCCAGCTGACCCTTCCCTTGCTCTGTCTTGGGGAGCACTGGGGGAACAAAAGCCAACCAGGAACAAGCATGACACTTCTCTCAAATATTCCTTGGAACTTGTCTTTCTTTTCTTTAATAAGAAAAATTATGCTAGTAATCCCATTACTGAGTATATACCCAAAGGATTATAAATCATTTTACTATAAAGACACACGCACATGTATGTTTATTGCAGCCCTATTTACAATAGCAAAGACTTGGAACCAACCCAAATGTCCATCAATGGTAGACTGGATAAAGAAAATGTGGCACATATACACCATGGAATACTATGCAGCCATAAAAAAGAATGATTTCATGTCATTTGTGGGGACATGGATGAAGTTGGGAACCATCATTCTCAGCAAACTATCACAGGAACAGAAAACCAAACACTGCATGTTCTCACTCATAAGGGGGAGTTAACAATGAGAACACATGGACACAAGGGAACATCACACATCTGGGCCTGTCCTGGGGTGGGAGGCAAGGGGAGGGAGAGTATTAGGACAAACCCCTAATGCATGCGGGGCTAAAACCTAAATGACGGGTTGATGGGTGCCGCAAACCACCATGGCACAAGTATACTTATGTAACAAACCTGCACATTCTGCATACGTATCCCAGAACTTAAAGTAATTTTTTTTTTAAAAAGTGAGAGAAACATTTTTTAAAAAAGAATAATTATGCTAGTAATGTGTATTATAATTGATTATATCAATCTAAACCATTTTAAGTTCTCCAGGGGACCAGTTAGCCTCCTGTGAGCCCATCTTCCCCATCATGAACCTATTGGTAGAACAAATAATCACCTCCAATTTTGCATATGTGTAAATCCAGATTGTCATATACTGAAAGATTGGTATATCTATATTACAGAGTTTAGTGACAGAAAGCTGGGCTTATGTTGATGTGTGTATGTTCATCCCTCCCTCCCTCCTTTCCTTCCTTCTTCCCTGTCTTACTCTCTGCTCTAAAAACAAATCATCTAGCTGCCCATTCCCTCCCCATGTGGAGTAACCTGCTTGAAGTGTGAGGCAGAAGACCAGATTTATACCTGTCTGCTTGTTTCTAGCTTATTAATGGCCACT